ACCTCAGGATGTACATATCCATGACCTAACAATTATACTCTGAAGTGGATGGATACTCTAGGGAATCTCATACACATGTGTACCAAAATAAATGTCAACAGTATGTATAGCAGTGTTTTATTTTTAAAGACTTTATTTATTTATTCATGAGAGACAGAGAGAGAGAGAGAGAGAGAGAGAGAGAGAGAGAGAGGCAGAGACACAGGCAGAGGGAGAAGCAGGCTCCATGCAGGGAGCCCCACGTGGGACTCGATCCTGGGTCTCTAGGATCACACCATGGGCTGAAGGCAGCGCTAAACCGCTGAGCCACCTGCTGCCCTATAGCAGTGTTTTAATATTAACCTAAATCCCAAAACAAAATGCTCACTGGTAGTAGATGTATACATTGTTATAGAATCATACACCAAATTAACAAACATACAGGAATGAAATTTACTGACCTCCAACCACATGTAAATATACATGGATATCATAAAAACAATATTGAGTGAAAGATGCAAACATCAGTTAAAATATACAATATAATTGCATTCATAAAAAGATCAAAAATACAATATTATATTAAAGCATTCTAGGGACAGATGCATAAATAGTGTCCTAAGTAGTGTGCATTTGGGCTTTTTTAACAAAAATAATTTAGACTAGTGACTTAAACAATAAACATTTATTTCTCATAGCCCCGGAGGCTAGGATGTCCACAGTTAAGGTGCTGGTCAGACTGTGTCTGGTGACAACCTGTTTCCTGCTTCCTAGACTGTGTCCTTGTGGTTGAGGAAAAGGCAGCGGAGCTCTTTGGGGTCTTTTAGGAAAGGCCACTAATCCCATTCAAGAGGGTTCTGTCTTCATGACTATCTAAAGCCCCACCCCATAGTACTGTCATATTGAGGGGTAGGATTTTAGCATATGGATACAGTGGGTGGGGAGGACACACAAATTTTCAGCCTATAGCTGTTGGTGAAAAAATGAATAAAAACAAAGAAATATTATCATCAGAGTCAGCATATGTTACTGGTAAGATCTTGTTGGGATACATACATATAAACATATAAAGTATGAAGCTACTCCCATAAAGGCTAGCACAGTAGTTTCTCTTGAAGAGGGAGGGTGAGATCAAACAAAAATATATGAGGGAAGTTTTGGCAGGTGGCAAGTGTTTTTCCAATCTACATGGTAGTAACATGGACATACAGTTATTTGATATGCTGCATGATACAATTTTATGCACTGTTGTATATGTTATTTTTCATATTTTAAAAGGAAAATGTCTAAATATATTTAAGAAACCCAGAAGCCAAGCTAACTCTTCAAAATCTGTAATACTCCAAAAGTAGCATTTATAAAATTTAAGAATAGAAAAAAAAAACTTGGTTAAGCAGAAGTTAACAAAGTGCTTACCAAAGGCGTCATTTGACTCTAAATTTGAAAATTAGGTATGGAGTAAAGTCTCCACGAATGTGAAACACATTTCCCCTTATATTCTGCAATGTAAAATCTTAAATTTATGTGAAACTAGGAATAGCAGCTTGGCTCACTGTCCAGTCTAAACATTTCAAAATTACTGCCAACCTGAGAGATTTGATATAATATATTCAGACGAAGCTGATACACTAAAAAAGTGAACACCAATTACAGGGACACAATAAAATCATAGGGGAGGTAGAAGAAGAAGTAACACAATATTACAAGTTTCACTTTTGCGTCACTTCCAATAGTTTATTATTCAGGCAAATCATAATCCCAGAAAGATTATACCCTCTCTGTGGCTAACTTCAACAGTCCAAGTAAAATATTTTGGTCCTTCATGGACTAGGTTGTATAGCTAAAATAAGGCTTAGTCACTAAATAGGTCTCTTTAAATCCCTAGGCAGACTTAACTCCTTCACTTGTCCATTGTGGAGCCTTTATTATTATTTTCTATTTTTTTAAATAATATCTGCTGCCATTCCCACTTGCCTCATTGTTTGCTGACTATAGGTTTTAAATATACCCAGACCATGAGAGCTTATCCTGAATCATTTATTTGGTGTTATAGTAAGATTTTCTCACCATCTTTTTTGATACCATAGCTTCCATTTAATAGATTTTTTTTTCTTTTCACTGAACTTTCCTGTCATTACCAATCTTTCTTCATAGTTTATACGTTTCCAATTATGGCAGATAGGGTGTGAGGACTTCCCAGTAGACATGCTTGTATCTTGACAGCTCTCTCCACACCATTTATGGTATCCAAAACAAAGAATGCATGGATCATACACATTCCTTTCTGCACTCCTGGATGAAAAATACCAGAGGTAGTTGCTTTTCTGAGAAATGTAAGAGAGATTTTTTCTTATAGTCATATAACATTTACTATTTAAAAAAATTAAAGTTTTAAAAATATTTCTAAAGATCTTTCCTGTATAAATTTTAAGTTGTCTTATGCTAAATATAAATTTTGAGTAATATTACTTTCTAGGCTACTAATTGGTAAATATATTTTATCAAAAATTAAATGAGATTTGTTACATAAATAGGATAACATGTAGGGGACAAGATATGAAGATCTACATGAGAAAACACATTTTGATTGTTAGTTTTCGGTTACCATAAATTTCTATCTTGAATTTGAAAGCAAAATTTTTCACCAAAGAATAAGTACTCACTTTTCATGGCAATAACTTGTTTCTCTATTTTCTACTTTGCCTTTTCTTCCTTCAAAATAAAATGTTATAAAATATTATGAAAGGTAAATCAACAGTCTCACAATATGTTGTTGTCTGTGGCTTCTGAGGGAAATTAATAACATCTGTAATTGGAAATTTTGTTGAAACCAAATCTCCAATGAATGGCACCACAAGTGCTATTATTGACTCAGAAAATTACTGTCTAAATAAAAATGAAAATCCATGTTTCAGGCCATTATTATTTCCTTGCCTCAAGTTAATTTCCTCTCCACCACCTTTCCCACTGATGACAGCCACTAGAGTTTTGACTAACCACAGCATATTACTGTTCAAATGCCACAATAGCACAAAACATATCCATACCGGAAAAACCCTGAAGATAACTCTGTTCTCATTCCAGGCTGAAAATACTTTTTCAGAAAAATAAACAGATAGGACAGTTAACCTCAGTGGCATTCTGGCACTCATAAATGTAATATTTTATTGTAAATATCTGTTACAGTATCTTCCCTATTTAGCACTTAGATCTTATTTTCATGTCCAATAAAAACTATGAAAAGAAGAACCTATTTGTAAAATAATAATTATGTGAAAAACTAGCAATACTATTACAGAAGGAGTAATGTTGAAATCATGCTGAGTGTGCTGACAAATCAAATTTCTTAGCAATTAGATGAAGAGTCAGTCTCTGGGGTATTGCAGATTCATGAAGGAACACAGCATTATGTCAGGTTTCTTGGCCTCTTCCATGGATAATTGTTGGTACTCTAACTGATGAAATATAGTTTTCAGATAGTAGGCTTTCAAAAAGTACGCAACAATTTGCAGAAAAGCAAAATTCTGGAACTGGCCTAGCTGATCCAAGGTCTGTCATTTTCCTAATAATTTTCTTTGCTCTTCTTCCCTGTCCTCATATCAATATCCTACAGAGACATAATCTTCATTCCTTAAAGTTATAAGACTATATATGTGGCATCTTGAAAAATACAAGGAAGCAGTAAGAAGGTGCAGTATAAAAAGTAGGTAGAAGGTATTCAAATAGTTGGGCTAGAGGCAGGGATCATCCAGAAAAGAGAAATGCCACAAATATGACAGGAGAGAAAGAGATGTGATATATATGTAAAAACACATGGAATATAGCTCTTTTAATGTAAAGTATGAAAAAGCGGAAGCCTGCTTCACCTTTTATGATTTTTGAAGCCCTGATAAAAGTATAAGTTTGGGAAATTAGATTTATCTTTTGGAAACTCAGAATTTGAAAACCATGAGATTGAGCTAGTTTCTGTTGAGGACTTGAAATGAAAAATTAAAGCGTTCAGACACCAGAAAGGAGCAGAGATTTAAGGACTGAGAGAAGTTCTGTCCCATGATAAATAGAAATTTGAGTTCCTGGTGGCTTTTAAATTCCCAATTGCACTCCATAAGAGGCCTGGTTGTATTTTGGTTTGTTTGTGGGTTTCTGGGAGACTGCAGTGTGTACCCATACAAAAACCACTTGCTTGAGCTTGATCCAGTGAGTCTTTAGTGTCTTGTAGGAAGAAAGAAAGAGAGAGAGAGACAGAAAAGAGAAAGGAAAAGAAAAAAAAGAAAAGAAAAGAAAAGAAAAGAGAGAGGGAGGGAGGGAGGAAGAAAGAAAGAAGAAAGAAAACAGAAACAAAACTTTTAACTGAGAAAGAACAGAAATTGTTGAAGAAGGTCTATACTAATGGTGACAGGAAAAAAAAAAAGGAGTTAGAAGGAACTCTAAAAGGAAGTTAAAGATAGAAGGAACAAGAAATCAGTAAGAGAAAACTGTGGACAAGAGGCTGATATAGATGTAGATGCATATATGCTTTCCAGAAATCTACTCAGATGATTCCAGCTGAATAATGCAGTAGAAGTTCATGTATCCATATGGCAGAAACCATAAGGAAATTTGGCTATAGATCAAGTTCAACTTGAACCAAATTGAAGTAAAGGCTGATCCCAAACCTAAAAATAAATTTATTTTAGCCAAGACAGTTTTGTTTATAGTGCAAGGACCTCTGCTTAGCAGTCTGTAATTGTATATTCATTTTTGAAATTTTGTTAACTAAACTGAGGTTAAAAATAAGACTGCTGTTTAAAAAAAGAAATGAAGATTTTAACAATTAGCAATTATATAAAGCTGCGCTAAATACTGTGGCAAATCTAGTGGTAGTAAGTAGCATTTTCATTAAAATATAAAATTGGCTTTCTGTTTAGGAAACATAAATAAATAAATCATGGTCAGGAGGAAAATGAGAACTATCATAGATGAAAATGGCTTTAGACCTGATCGATTTCGTTGGGAAGTGCTTTTTAAACTTCCAGGAAATAGCTCGCTTCGGCAGCACATATGCTAACTTTGGAACGATGCGGAGAAGGTTCGCACGGCCCCTGCGCAAGCACGACTCGCCGATCCGCGGAGCGTGCCCCAGTTTTTGTGCTGGGCCCTGGCACCGGCGGGACCCCTTTCCGAGCAGCCGTCCGGCAACCAGCGGCCCGGGATCGACTGTTCTTCGGCTGCCGCTGGCGGGACCAGGACCTGTGCAGGGAGGCGGCGTGGCTGCAGCTGGAGAGGAAGGGCTGCCCGACGCCCCTCACGGCCTTCTCCGGGAGCGGGAGCGGGAGCGGGAGCGGGAGCGGGAGCGCAAGATGTAAGTGCGCGCGGGCTCCGCGAGCTCGGGCCCTTCGGCCGCCGGTGTGGGGCCTGCTGGACCGCCCAGTGCATGCCCGCAGATGTGTCGGGAGCCCTAGAGTCCGGCTTCCAGGGGGACGGGGGCTCCCGGCCCGGATGCCGCTCACTACCTTGCCAGACTCCAGCCGACACTGCGCATCCAGAGTGAGACGTGGGCCTCAAGAGTTTTCCTGCTGACCTCAGCCACTGCTCTCGGGGGGTGGGGGGGGGGACCATCACCCCCCAGCTTGTCCCCTGTGCAGCCTCGCGCTCCAGTCAACCTGGGGTCCTCTGCTCAGCCCTGACACCACTGCCCACTCACCACCCGACCCTGCCCCTGTCCAGGGCTCCAGCCTACCTCTGGCCTTTCCCACTGGCCCCAACTTGGGTCCTGGTCAGGGTAGTCCCTGGGTTCCCTGCCCCCCCCCCCCAACTGCACAGGACAGTGGCTGAGAAAGGACCCGGGAGCTTGCAGAGCCTTAGGAGGTGGGACAGAGCCTTGGGGAGTGCCACAGGCCACCAGTCTTTGCCCCAGGAGACCGCAGGTTCTCAGTCACCCTGTGCCACATCTGTGTGCCCTGCCACAAAGTGCATGGCTTGGGCTCAGGCTGGAGGTCAGCAAGGACCAGAGCCCCAGGGGGAGGAGGGAGGAGGCCCCCAGCCAGCACAGGCTCTCCCTGCCTCCATCTTGGAAAGCCTCAGTAATAAATTGTGGGCTCTGAAAAAAACAAAAAAACAAAAAAACAACAACAAACAAACAAAAAAAGAAAACTTTCAAGAAATAAATAATCTCACTGGTATGTGCTAGTCTACAGAGAATAATCTGTCAATCCATCTATTTATCATATCTACCTACTGACATACATATGTGTGTGTGTGTGCACTAAATATAGTATCTACATATTTATTCCTTTATCTTCTTCAAATAAAAAGAATGAAATGTAATAAATATATTGATATAATTAGGTCAGTCTTTTGGGTTAAAGCCTTCATCATGTCAGGCTGTAGACAAAAGCCTACAGTATATCATATCATTGCTCATTTTGAGGAAGAAGTAAATAATCCACACATAAGGAATAGAATATTTGGTTTTATACCATTACCATTTTTAATGCTATCTTAACCTGACTCATATCATTCCAATAATATATGACTCCTATGTCAGGTGTTCCCTGGCCCAAAACATTTTCTAGTCCTTCATTTTGAAATTTTGACTTCATTAATATGTACTTCTTTGTCAGAACACTTAGGAACATCTACAGAAAGATTAGGTAGGAGGTCTAAGTAGTTACGAGGAAGGCAGATGGGGAGAAGAGAAGGAGAGTAAATTAACATGTTCTATTTTATGCCAAGCACTGTGACAGTTATCTTTCATCCTCAGAGCCCAATGCAGTAATTATTCTCATTTGAAGATGAGAAGATAGAATCAGAGATGGTTATTCTGACTTCACCCCACAAGCATTTTCTCCCAGCCTGCTAGCACACTAGTAAAGCAGTGGTTTCAAACTCTTGGGAAAAATCTAAGTTCTATTCAAGAGGATAGTGGTTAAGAACACAGACCCTAGCACCTGTACGGAGTCAGCTTGAGTTTCCCTCCCTCTGCCGCTCTCCCTTCAAATGAATAAATAAATCTTTAAAAAAAAAAAAAAGAACACAGACTCTAAAACCAGATGCCCGGGGTTCAACATAAAATATGAGATTTATTAGGTTTGTGAACTACAGTACATTTTATAAACAATGCTTTAGTTGCTTCACCTTTAAAAAAAAAGATTGGTAATAATCCTGCCTCCTAATATATTACAATGATTCAATTGGTTAAAATGTATGAAATACCTAAGAGAATGTTTTTTTTTTCCATGATAAGTTTATTAGAAGAGCCAACATTCTAAAGAAGCCCAAATTTGAACTAATGTGAAAACTAATGTAGCAGCAGGGTGAAGGCAACAGGTATAACCAGTGTTAATGATTAAATAATAATGGGATCCCTGGGTGGCGCAGCGGTTTGGCGCCTGCCTTTGGCCCAGGGTGCGATCCTGGAGACCCGGGATCGAATCCCACATCGGGCTCCCGGTGCATGGAGCCTGCTTCTCCCTCTGCCTGTGTCTCTGCCTCTCTCTCTCTGTGACTATCGTAAATAAATAAATAAAAAAAATAAAAATAATAATAATAATAATAATAATAATAAAACATCAATAGTATATTTCCAATTATTATAATTAATATTAGATCATAATTGTTATTAAAATAACTAACCAGGATTGAAAAATTTGAGGACGAACAATCATAATTATATTAATACATGTTGAAAAGGCATTAATGAGATAAAATCAAATTTCTTGGTACATAGTAAGGGATTTTACATGTTTTCTGAGAATACTATTGCTCAAAATTTAACTTGGTGAGAAAATGAGAATTTTCTGTTCCACAGATCAGAGCACAGTTTCTATTCACTATTTTGTATCTTCTAGAAACATGAAACTGTGAATTCCTAGAGATTCCTTTTTTTCACAGTCTTACATACGTTTTTGACTATACCAAGTTAAGTGAAACTTTCCGTTTTCTTTTGAATATTAATATCCTCCCCTAACTTAAAGCAATCACCCTGTGTAATGGCTAATTTTATGTCTCACTTGTCTGGGGCCACAGGGCCCAGATTTTTGCTTCCTCGAGATTATTTTTGGAAAGGATTTACATTTAAGTTGGTGGACTTTGAATAAAGCCGATTCTTCTCCAGGATGGGGATGAGGTGTACCCAGTCAGTTGAAAACCTGAATACAACAAAAAGCTTCTCCTCCTCTGAGCGAGAGGAAATTCTCCAGCAGACTGTCCAGACTTCACCAACAACATACTGACTTTTCCTGAATTCTACTATAGAAGTTCTTTGGACTTGAACCACAACATTGGCTCTTTCCTATGTTTTCTGCCTGCCAGCCAACCGTATAGATTTTGGGCTTCTCAGCCCCCATGCTTGCATGAGCCAATTCCTTAAAACAAATCGTTACACACACACACACACACACACACACACACACACACACACCCTATTGAGTATGTTTCTCTGGAGAAACTTAATTCACTCTGATTACTCATTTTCTGATTCCATTGTTTCAAAAACATTCCCCTGTGTTTTTTGGTAATTTAAGAGTCCCTCCTGTCCAGTAAAAGCAAAAAGAGCCAACCTCTTGTTCCTACTAATTTGGATAAGCACATCATAAAGTTCACATAATAAAATGCATCTTACTCTGTAGTCGCATCCAATTATCTTAGTCTGGGAAGAGAAAAGTATATATTGATGTCTACATTTTTATTCTTTTCAAAACACGCTAGCAAGTTATTAGGTGAGGATTTTTCTTAAGTAGGTCCCACCAGCATGGAGCCAAATGCAGGGCTTGAACTCACAGCCTTGACATCAAGACCTGAGCTGAGATCAAGAAGAGACAGACACAACTGACTGACCCACCCATGCGCCCCAAGGATTTTTCTTTTTAAGTTTGAGATTTTTTCTAGTAAATAGAGTTAACAGTCCACGTACTGTTCTAAGTATTTTCCTTGCTTGGAAATAGCATTGGCATGAAATGAGTCTGAAGAAGGGTGACTTAACATAGTCTCACATGGGGGCAAAACCTAGCCCCCCCATTTAACCTCCGTGAAGTCTTCAAGGTGATAACCCTTTTCCACAAAATTTCCAGAATATGTACGCATTAAATCATAAAATGTTATAGTTATGTGCTATTTATTGGAGTCAACTGTAAGGAATATCTAAATTCAAAATGGTAGAAAGTATCATCATACTATTAGAAAATGAAAACAACAACAACAAAAAAACAAAACAAAGCACTTTTTTGGTTAAAAACAAACTGAGGCACACAGAGGCAGGACAAAATATTGCAGGATACTATAGGGCGGTGTTAAGAGTGTGGGACCTGGAGTACAACTCTACCACCTACTTAACTTTTATTTCTTATTACTTTTAAACTTTTTACCTTGAATTAATTTGTGAAATCACATGTAGATGAACGTTTTTTAAAACCGAAATCAACTTACATTTTATAACTCATCTTTGATATGCAAGGAATTCTAATGTGCTATATTTAAATGTTGGTTTGCTCTGTATGTGTGCCACCCCTTCTTCTTACTCTATTTTAAAAGCTGGAGCTGTCCTAATTTGTGAGTATGAAAAAGAAAAAAAAAAGACTAAAAAAAAAAAAAGAAATAATACAGGTTCTATGTACCATATACCCATTTTCCCCAATGATAATGTCTTACAAAACCATGGTACAATAACACATCCAGGATACTGATGTTGATCTTGGCAAGATACAAAACATTTTCATCACCACAAAAAAAGCCTCACGATGCCCTTTTGTAACCACATTCACTCCATTCTACATAATCCATTTTCTTTTACTACTATCCCTAATATCTGCAACCACTTATGTGTACTCCATTTTTACAAATTTGTCATTTTGAGGTTGTTGTATATATTGAATAATATAGTATGGACCCTTTGTGGTTGACTTTCTTCACTCAGCATAATTTTTTTTAAGATTTTATTTACTTGTTCATGAGAGACACACACACACAGAGAGAGAGGCAGAGACAGAAGCAGAGGGAGAAGTAGGCTCCACACAGGGAGCCCGACGTGGGACTCGATCCCGGGTCTCCAGGATCACGCCCTGGGCCTGCAGGTGCTAAACCGCTGAGCCACCCAGGCTGCCCCACTCAGAATAATTATCTGAAGATTCGTCTAGGATGTGTGTGTATC